TGAATAGGACTGGTCTCAGAACAGACCCCTAGGGGACACCACTATTTACCTCTCTCCATTCTGAAAACTGACCATTTATACCTACTTTTTGTTTCCTATCTTTTAACCAGTTACCAATCCATGAGAGCACCTTCCCTCTTATCCCATGGCAGCTTACTTTGCATAAGAGCCTTTGGTGAGGGACCTTGTCAAAGGCTTTCTGAAAATCTAAGTACACTATATCCACTGGATCCCCTTGGTCCACATGCTCAGGACCGGCTCTAAGCACCAGCAAAGTAAGCACGTGCTTAGGGCGACACATTTCTAGGGGCAGCATTCCGGCCATCCCAAGCACATGCTTGCTTTGCTGGTGCCTAGAGCCCATCCTGTCTCCTTCCCCACGAGCACGACTGAGGACTTGGAGCTGGGCGTCGCAGCCCCGTGCCGGCAGGAACAAGCAGTGGGCATTGGGGGGGGGGTGGGGGGGGTGGGCTGCCCGGTCCCTCCAGCCAGGTCACAATCACCTCCACTCCCCCGGTGCCAATCCCAGTCTGAAATGGCTGTAGCAGCCCTGCCCACGGCCCCACGTCTTGCTATGCTAAGACTATGCTATGTCTTGTTAAGACAAAAAACCCCAAACGTTGCAAAGTGCAAACATGTAAAAGCCAAAAAAAAGGGGGGAGGGGGGACAGCCAAAATTTTTTTTGCTTGGGGCGGCAAAAAACCTAGAGCCAGCCCTGCACATGCTTATTGATCCCCTCAAAGACTTCTAGTAGATTGGTGAGGCATGATTTCCCTTTACTAAAACCATGTTGACTCTTCCTCAACAAATTATGTTCATCTATGTGTCTGACAATATTTTTCTTTCTTGTAGTTTCAACCAGTTTGCCCGTTCCTGAAGTCAGGCTTACAGGCCTGTAATTGCCGGGATCACCTCTGGAGCCCTTTTTAAAAATTGGCGTCACATTAGCTATCCTCCAGTCAGCTGGTACAGAAGCTGATTTAAATGATAGGGTTACAGACTAAAGTTAGTAGTTCTGCCATTTCACATTTGAGTTCCTTCCTGCAGCAGTAGCACACTGCAAAGTGGCCTCAATAGGGAGGGAATCTGGGGCATTCTCTCCTTCCTGTCTGAATCACTAAACTGTCTTTGGAGCTGACATTTCTGTTGCATGAAAACTAGTACAACTGCAAGTTGGAAGGTCAGAAGCTTAAAAAAAAATCTTTGTTCTTTAAAAGCTATATGGTGACTGTGATGCTTTTGCATCAGCAGGCTGAAGATGTTATGTTTTATAGAATGAATTAGGCAAAAAGAGAGCTGCAACCACTGCCTATCATGTTAAACAATATTGTGTCATTGTTTTCTTTTACTCCTCTCTGTCTTAATCCACCTGCAGTCTCTTGTCTGATACTTCGATTGTAAGCTCCTTGAGACAGGGGCCATCTTTTTGCTCTGTGTTTCTATAGCACCTAGCACAATGGGTCCCTGGGCTAGGCCTGGGGCTCCTAGGTGCTGTGGTAATACAAATGATTAATAATAATTAATAAAAATCTTCCCCTCTCTTTCTCCTTCTTATCTATTGCATCATTATTTGATCCATTTTATTAGCAGGGCTGTAATGTCACTCAGAATGCCACCAAAATACAAGATTGAATTGAAACTTTTAACATACTCCATTTCAGCTCTGAGTCAAAATCTTAAGATTTGCTTGTTCAGATGTGTGTATTCAGAGATTTGTCTTTTCAGTCAAACTGAATATAGAGAGAACTCCAGTGTATCCGATGAAGTGAGCTGTAGCTCACGAAAGCTTATGCTCAAATAAATTGGTTAGTCTCTAAGGTGCCACAAGTCCTCCTTTTCTTTTTGAGTGTATCTGTAGTTCCTCTTTAACATGAATATAATATAGTTTGTAAAAAGCTTCCTAATGAAATGTATTCCATCCTAATAAGTAGATAAAACATTGTGCCATAAACAAGCAATGTATTGGAGCATTGCTCTGTAAGATTTAATTGCTATCCTTTCTTATAAAGCCAGGTTTTGATCTCCTGCCAATCTAAGTCCATAGTGATTACATTGATTTCTGTGCAGTTACTCCAGATAAGTGAGATCAGAATCTAGCCATTTCTGTTAGCACCAAGGTGAAGCTTAAATCTTTGCCTGCCCTGTACCTTATTTGCTTTATAAACCTGGTGGCAGAGGTGGGGAGGAGGGAGGGAGAGAGAGATTTTTGTGGCCATGAATTTAGAAGTAATTCTACAATGAGGGTGAGGTCAGGAAAGATATAGGAAAGACAAGGGAATGTTGTCTTTGTTTTCAACTGTTACTCAGGCAAAAAGACTTTTCCAGTCCTGCAGCCCCCTCCTACTACATGTTTTCCCAGAGGGAGAGAGAGTAATCTGTCCTTAAAGAATATAAGGAATCAGGTATTTAGAATGTCTCTCTTTCTCTCCATCAGCTAAGCTATTGCTGAACAATTAATAATGAATAATAGACGCTTTTCTTCTGCAACCTTTGTGAAGTCTGCAAATGGGAAGCATTTTCTATAAAACTTGGACATTTAAGTGTGGGATTTTCAGAAGCACCTAAATGACTGTGCTCCTAAAGGAAATGGGGAACTTGTGCTCCTGAGTTTATGTATTTTAAAAAAATCCCATCCTAAATGTCTGGGACCTGGAGAAGGATAATAGAACTAACCCCAGTATGTTAGCAAATCTGTCAATACTGTATTAGTACTGTTATGGCATGCTTCTCTCTTCATTTACTTTACAGAAAAACTAATTACGTTTAAATTGAACCCTAACAAAAGAAAACATTTTCCACAGACCAGGCCCTGTTTATTTTTGTCTGGAGTCCAAAACAATATTTTACAAAAATTGAGAAGAGTCATCTTGATGTTTGATTGTGTTTTGGCACAAACCTCGTAAGCACATATGTGTATGGGCAAATTTTGTTTTCATTTATCTTAAAAAAAAAAAATCTGAACCTTAAACACTCAATTATTTTTAGTCTCCATTCTGGAGTTTTTAAAGTGACATATTTTTAGAATGTATCTTTTCTGAAGCAAGAGACCACATGGCAGTAACACACTGAAGTTACCAAAATAGCATTGAAATGCAGCTCCAGTTTAATTACAGGGCCAGGAATTTTCAAAGAATTCTAAGAGAATTAGGTACCTAATTCCTACTGAAGTTTCAGATGTCAAAAGTTTTTTGAATAATTGTGATTTTTGCTCTCCAAAATTCATAAAGTACTGTGTGTACCCAAGCTGGCAGTCTTTACTCAGGCAAAACTCTGAGACTTTTCATGGAAGCTATCTATTCCTTAATAACAATGAAGCAGTTAGGCCACTTAGGATGTCTCTGTCTCTCCACTCACTAAACAATGTCTGAACAATTAATAATGAACACTGGACACATTTCTTCTGGAGAAGTGCTCCCACCTTGCCCCATTCTCAAACAGTCCTACCCGCTCACCATTCATGTCATGGTAATGTTGACTGTTACCATGTTGGACCAATTGTGTCCTCAGATGTGCACATATGACACGTTAAGCAAGCCAAAGGGTGTTGTGTGCATGAGTTCAAGGGCAGAACCTGCCCTCTTATATTTAAAAACAACCATAATTTAGATTAAATCTCAGGAAAAACTTCCTAACTAAGAACAGAAGGACAATGGAACAGACTGCTTAGGGGAAACTCCTTCACTAGAGATTTTCAAAAGGAGGCTGGATAGCCTTCTGTCTTGGATGGTTAAACACAAACAAATCCTGCGTCTTGGTGGTGGGGGGTTGGACCAGATGATCCTTGTGGTCTCTTCTAACTCCATGGTTCTATGGTTCTATAAATCACAGATTTTGTTTTTCTTTATTCCCCTCTGTCACTCAGCTTTCTCTTTGTCTATTCACAAAGTCTCATCACTCTTGGAGCAAGAGTCTTCTCCTCTACAGCCATTTAAAACTATCTTCCTGTGTACCTCAGCCTAATCAGGTCTCCATTTCACCTGAGCACCATTTCTGTACTCCCTGGCTCGTATCTTTCAATTACTCATGCCCTCTCTCTTATTTGTTAACATTCTTTCATGTATTATTTAACCCTAGAAAGCATTCTGAAAGATTCTGTACAAAATAAAGTTTTATTTCCCTGTATTTTGTTGGATGGGTACTTTCTTGGCCACTCTCAAATGTAATGATCTGAACAAGAACTATTTCTACAGCTGTGCACATTCCTCATGATAGTTTTTTAAAACAGTATTTGTTGAAGTTTCCCACATCATTTATAGACACCCAGGCAGACAGGTGAACCCAAGGGGAAAAACTTACTTTGGACAACTAGATGATGCTGGTTCAGAAAGAAGGATGTAAACAAAAATCCATGGGGCCTTGTGCTCCATGAAAAACAAAGAAGAAACTTAGGATTGCCATGTGGAAAAGGGAAGCATTATTAGGTAAAGGCAAGAATGACCCTGTTATTAGGAATTAAAAGTCTGGTATTAATAAACTTAATAATTGTAGTAGTAATAATAATGGAATGTATTTTTAAAAATACACTAAAATCTGTGATAGTCATTGTCCTAAAGATGATATTCAGTACAATTAATATTCACACTAACGGTAATTGTTTCACAGCTTTTAAAAGCTTTTTTAGCTAAAACTTCAAGATTGTCTAACTGAGATAATGTCGATTGCGTTGTTAGAGACCAGTTCTGAACGATGCCATATATTAAGCATTTTCAGTAATTTCATTTTATATACTCCTGACAACTCACCGTGTGCCATCTTATTAGTTTTCCGCTATATCTCTATCAATTATGCCAGACATATTACCTAGCTTTACTGTGCTCAAAAACCAGTTTGTTTTCTCAAATGCCATGTACATCTGAAAGTTGCCATTTATGAAGAGCTGTTAAAATGTAATGGCTTTTTAAAGTAATATTTATTTTAATAAAAAGTAAATGTCTGATTAACAAACATATGTATATTATATTGAAATTACTTATATTAGTATTTCTGTTTTCTTTTCTAGCGCAGAATATAGAACTATGATAGCAACTGGTGGAGTAATAACAGGGCTGGCAGCCTTAAAGAGGCAAGACTCTGCCAGATCTCAGCATCACCTAAATCTTGCCACATCACCAACTTCTGAAGAGAAAAAGCCAGTCAGACGCCGGCCCAGGGCTGATGTAGTAATTGTTAGGGGCAAAATCCGACTTTACTCCCCATCAGGATTCTTTCTTGTTTTGGGAGTGCTTATCTCATTCATGGGAATTGCAATGGCTATCCTTGGATACTGGCCCCAAAAGGAACAATTTTTAGGTCCTGAAGCTAGTCTAGCCTTAAATGAAACCCAGGTCATAACAAACCAAGGTGGAGTTATATTTCGTTTCTTTGAACAACATTTACACTCAGATAAGATGAAAATGTTGGGCCCCTTTACTATGGGCATTGGAATTTTTATTTTTATTTGTGCAAATGCCATCCTACATGAAAATCGTGACAAGGAAACAAAAATCATACATATGAGAGACATATATTCCACTGTAATAGACATGCACAGTCTGAGAATCAAGGAACAAAAGCAGTTGAATGGCGCTTACACTGCTTTATTGGGGGAAAGTGAATTCAAGCATAGTGGGAACTCATGTGCATCGCGGTTGGCTGCAAACACAATTGCACCTTTCTCTGGCTTCAGGAGTAACTTTCGAATGGACAGTTCGGCTGAAGAAGATGAGGTTGCCATAAATGAAGACAAGAACACTTCTAACCTTCTACCACCTTTGCTGGCTGAGCATTCTGGCTCTGTCTTTGGACTCTACCCTCACACTAGCAAGGCAACGAATGACAAAAATAGTAGCTCTATAAAGTGTGAAACAAAGTCAATTGTATCATCCTCCATTAGTGCTTTCACACTGCCCGTAATTAAACTAAATAATTGTGTTATTGATGAACCTAGTATAGACAATATCACTGAGGATTCTGAGATCACTAGAAGCCGGTCTAGAAATTTGTCAGTGGACTCTCTAGCCATTTCATTAACTGATACCAATGAACCCTACAAACCTGCCAGTGCAATGCTACCCCGAAATAATTCATTTGTAGAACCTCCATCCAGTCAGTTCAAATCTTCTATAACTCTTGGACCAAGCGCTGGAAAACTTTTATCACCTGGTGCTGCCAGAAAACAATTTGGGTCCAACGCGTCTTTGCATCTTCTGTCTGCACATTCAAAATCCTTGGATTTAGAGAGGGGTCCGTCAACACTCACTGTCCAAGCTGAACAAAGAAAACACCCCAGCTGGCCCAGATTGGATCGAAGCAACAGTAAAGGATACATGAAACTAGAAAACAAAGAGGACCCAATGGATAGGTTACTTGTACCCCAAGCCACAGTTAAAAAGGACTTTACTAATAAGGAAAAGCTGCTTATGATTTCAAGATCTCATAATAATTTGAGTTTTGAACATGAGGAGTTTTTGAGTAACAACCTAAAGCGGGGAACTTCTGAAACAAGATTTTAATATTTAAATTACAATTTACAAAACGTCCTACAGTATTTTTAAAAATATTTTGACAAGTTTCTTTTTCAGTGAAACTGGCACAAGCCTGTTTTTACCGAATGCTTATGGCACATTCAGATTGGCTTGTGTGAACAGAGATCATCATCTCTGTAATGCCAAGAGTTTCATGTGTTAGTAACATACAACTGTAATACTGTATATTATCACCACTCAAATATATGTTCGTGCCACAGATCCCATATTCTCCAATCTGTTACTCTTTTGTTTCTATATAAGCACATGACTTTTCATCACTAAGTCAAAAAACCTGCATCAGAATTGGAGCTCCCATAAGCTTCTAGTCCGTTCTTTTAGTGATTGCAACATTCTAACTATGATGCTTCCAGTCTAGGATGAAAAGTGAGTAGCAGTATCTACAGGAATTGCCAAATCCAGACACACATTGTCTTTTACAGATGATACATCTTGGTAACTGCAATCCTAGAATGTCATTGTGTTTACATGTTGGGGTGGGAGGGTAGAAGAAAACTGGGCAGATTAAAACCATTTTTGTGAACTCACTGTAAATGGTCAAGTTGAATACCAGTGTTGTGAATTCTAGTTAACTATGCTTTGTGATAACTTTCTATATCCACTATAATTTAGTACTGCAATTCAAGAAAACCATATGTAGAATAACCATGGCTTGGAAATTTGCAAATTTTTCTGGGATTAGTTATCCAAAGTGCATTAATTGGCAACAGCTTTACAAATAAAATGTACAAACTTAATTAAAAAGATCTGAACATGATGAATAACAGGATTTTAGAATTATGATGTACAGTATGATATTGTGACAAATCTAAAGAGAATAATTAAATATATTATATATAGTGTTTACAGTAGCCAAAACTTAAATAACAGGATTGCTATGTTTGAAAAAATTGAAACAACAAACTGTACAATTCAGTATTTACACTAAGGTTAATGTGAAAGCCCAATTGGCTAAATTTAAACTTGTATATTTTGCATAATTATAGCTTGATGGCTCAGGGGAGGTTTAGCTGTGATAAATTGCATAGAAAGCTTTTGCAAACGATTGACGTTTAAGACAAAAAGCGTTCTCTCAGCAAAGCACGCTTCACAGTTGCAGTTGTAGGCTAAGAAAGTTAATACGAATGACTCTACATGCATCCGATGAAGTGGGCTGTAGCCCATGAAAGCTTATGCTCAAATAAATTTGTTAACCTGTAAGGTGCCACAAGTACTCCTTTTCTTTCTACTAGAAAGTTTTCATTTTTCCATTAAGCCATTTAGGCCTTGATCCTGCCATGACAGCCACACTTAAGAACTCCTTCTACCATTCACCAAGCAGTATTGGGGCCTTAACTGGTCATCTTTAACAGATGTTTGATACTTTCACTTCATCTAAATACTCAGGAATTGTGTTTTTTTTTAAAGGCTTTCCCCAAAAAAGAATCAAAAGTTAGAATGTTGTTGTACTTCAGTTGATCATGAAAGATGAAAGACAGAAATATTTCTTTTTTTAATTTCCAGCTCCATATTTCAACAATGCAATGTTTATGTGTCAAGAGCATTACTTGCTCAGTGAATTGAGGCATAGTGTTACTTGTTAGAACCTCAAGCCTATATATTGTAACAGAGTTGGCTAAATATTTTGCTATGAAGCTTTTAATAACTTTCTGGTTCGTGTTCTTAATACATTTGCTATTTTTTGAAATAAAATAAAATGTATATCTATGTCTATGGTAAGACTGGTTTTTTCCCCCCCCTCCATACATAGGCTTTCTCCATATCTAGGAATATCATACATTACATTTGTCAAACATATTGGTCCATTACTGGATATTTGCCTGTCCCTCCCCTTGATTTCTTTTTGCCTGACATCCACATGTGCACATATCAGGATAGCATTTGGGACACTGTAGTTCAGCCATCAACTTATCATTACAGAAGCCTAGATTTAGGGTCCTATTCCAGTACTTTCCATATTCTGAAGGTTTTCTGTTGTGTCGAGTCTTGGCCAGAGTGACAGCCAATCTACTCAGAGTACCCCACTGATCAATCCATAAAGCAATGTTGGTGTCACCTGGAAGGGGGAAAAAAGAGGCTGATCCTCACTATATATGCAAGTAAGGTGCTGATTACTTTGCTATTGCCATTCAATATTATTATTATTATTTATTTATTTATTAATACCAGCACCTTCCTCTTATATAGTGCTTTTCATTCATGGATCTTAAAGTGCTTTACAAAGGAGATAAATATAATAACAAATAGGTAAGTAATGTTGAATTCCACATTATACATTCAGAGAATAAAATTATCAGGCTCAATGGCAAGTAAGGTACTTTACTATCTTTGCAGAGAAATCTATTACATTCTATGGGGGACTGATCCAAAAACCCACTGAAGTCAATGGGAGTCTTTCAGTTGTGTTCATTGGCTTAGAATCATGCCCTGGGTGCCCAAAATTGAAGTTCAGCAGGTACCTTTCTTCTCAACAGTGCCATTGGACTCAGTAATACTGCTAGAGGAATAAGGAATTATTCAATACAAGTGCATGTATCACAATCTGGCCCAACAGAAATGAGAGTATTATAGGGAGAGTTGATATTGACGCCTTGTGATGGGGTATACCTGTCCCCCACTGGGCAGGAAGGGGTTAACCCTATACTGAGTGCTGAGGAAGTCATGCCCCCTCACTCCTGCTGGGCATACTCCAACTGGAACCACACTATAAAATGGAGAAGCTAAGCTCAGTTTTCCTTGACCGGGGAAGGGAGAGAGCGTGTGTTGCAAGCTCCTGCCCAGGAGCTATCGGAGCCCCAGACCACAGAGGCCAGGCATGGTGAGACCCAGGCGAATACCTGGCTGCCCACAAGGGGAAGGAGTCGTTGGGAACTTCGCCTGTTGACTACCCTGGAGGATCAGAGGACCTGTGGACTTTGGAACAGGAAGACAGGGTAAGAAGTAGTTTAGGGGAACCAGACATTGATCCGGTTGTGGAACCAGGAACAGAGTCCCTGTGTTTTGGAGGGATCCCTGCTGATTCATGGTGGATACACTCACTACTGTTAGGGCCCTGGGCTGGGACCTGGTGGAGTAGGGAGCGCCTGGGTCCCTCTACCCCGGACACCAGCCTACCCTTGGGTGGTGGCCAACCCCCTGCCTAACCGCTAGGCCATGCTGACCTGCAAAGAGGGGTGGTCCCACTAGGCCACACCACCCCGCACAGAGGGACTGTCCTACAGACTCTGACCTCCAGGCCCTGCTGCCCCGCACAGAGGGGCAGCCCCATTGACTCTGGCCACTAGGCCACGCCGCCCTGCACAGAAGTATAGCCCCATTAACGCTGGCCATTAGGTTGTACCGCCCTCTTCTGAAGGGTGGTCCCATTTACTCTGGTGGCATGGCCAGACAGTCCTGAACCTAAGGACAGCTCCCCGACTCTAATCATTATGGTATCCCACCCTGAGAGGAGGAGCGGTCTCTTGGACTTGGCCACAGGGCCATAACGCTACCGCCCCGGGGAGGTGGTGTGACAGACTATACTTGCCCACAACACCCCTATTTTAGGTTGCATAATACTTTCCATTATAAGAATGCTTGGGACCTTTTCTTTGAGAAGCTCTCACATCTCTCTTAGTTGCAGCAGGCCTTTGATATTTTGTAGGGGGAATCGCTCTGGCTATGTCCTATGAAATTCTGTTCAGATTTTGCTGAGACCAACTGTTAAAAATCATAATTTCTCTTCTCTCACCTGCATTCCTCAGGAACATATTGGCAGGACATCATGGAGCGACAGGACCAGCGGGCTGTAGTGTTTGTGTGGGAGGCTGCAACAGAGTTGGGCCAGGATGCCTCCATTCTATAGATCACCAGACTTAGAACATGGTCACAATGACCCATTTAATGAAAACCCCTCCCCGACTTTTTTTTTTAAGGAAGAAAAAAAGGTATACAGAATGTTACACTATGTTACAAGAATTTTGTTTAGGTTGCAAAGTCAAGCACTCAAAAGTTAGGAATGTGAACCTTAATTCAGCCTCCTGGTGTGTATGCATTATGATACAATATTTAATTATATGATCACATCACTGTTTTTTCCCAATGACCCCATTCAGTGCACATGATGGATATACCCGGGGGCAGAATTAAGGTTGCATGGGAATTGTAAATCTGGCATTTCCTAATTTTGTGTTCTTGATTTTGCAAACCTACATTATATTATTTTAACATCCTAGCTTTTCCTCAGACCTGAGGAAGAGCTCTGTGTAATCCCAAAAGCTTGTCTTTCTCACCAACAGAAGTTGGTCCAATAAAAGATATAACCTTACCCACCTCTCTCTCTCTCTCTCTCTAATATTCTGGGATCAACGTGTCTACAACACCACTGCATAAAATTATTTTAACATAGTTTTTGTGTGTAAAATGAACTATGTTCATACCTGGGCTAGATCTAGGGAAATCTGCCACGTGTACCCCTTTTAATTGTATAATTGTATTTATAAAGACTGAAAAGACTATTTAAAAATGGATGACATGATCTTTCTTGATTAGTTAAATTATGTCTTAGCCTAAAAATCTGGCTTTTGAGCACCATTTTATGGAAGAGTAGTGGTCCTTTCTAAATTGTAGAACAGCTGGTACTTGGAAATTTGAATTTAGAGACTGATACTGTAGAATTTACTCACAAATAGTTGTACTAGTCACTGGAAACACAAGGTAAAGAAAGTCTTAAACTTCTGAAAAGTTTTATCAGAAAGCTGACTTTTTCTACAGAAAAAGCCCAAACTAATTCATATTTGATATAGCTCAGGACAGAGGATGCAGGACTCCACCCATGTACTAAACTAAATTCTGCTATTATTGCCACCTATTAAAAGGAAGAAATCATAAACACAGTGTAACTTTGTAGCTTATATACTACACTACAAAATCAAAATTCAGCTTATGCACATTACATTCAGTTAACAGCATTTATTGTCACTTACGAAAATAACTGGCTCAAGCTAGGCAAAAATTTCTTAATATATTACTTAAGCAATATATTAACACTTAAAAGTGTTAACCTTTTCTCCTGCAGGCTACAGTGGCTTTTAAGGCGCAGAGGGCCTTTCTGTGACCTAGGGGTAATACTGCCTCTCACTACAGTACTACGTTATCAGCTCTCAAGCTCTGGTGAACAAAGTCTGAGAAGTACTTTTAAGTTCCAGCCTAGCTTTCTCCCTGAATAAACTTTGTAGTTACACTCTGGCTAGTAGAGTTGCCAGACTTACTCCTGTTATTTTCAACCTCACATTCTATTTCCCTTCAGTTTGTCTCTCTGTTTCTCCTGCTTCTAGGAGTCTCTCTCTGTCTTTTTCCAGGAGCCTTCTACTTCAATCCTCTCCGCTCTATTTGTTTCTCTTTTCCAGTTTCCCACAAAACATTACACTGTTCAGAACAGAAAAGGGTCTTTTTTAACATGACTCTTGTTTGGTGGGAAAAGTGCAAATGGATGTGTGGTTTAGGAACATTCTGGTCAATAGACTCCTTATCTTTTGTAGAATAAGCTCATATTCTTTGTTACAAAGAATTCAAACTAATTCCAGCTAATTTATCTAAAATCACATTTAACTTTCAGTTCACCCATTTCAAATCTTTCATTAGTGTTAAACATGTGCACCTACTGGGAGTGGCTGTAATTTGAATTTTTGGACTTGAAACTGCAAAATAGCCTCTCATAAGTAATTCATATTCACACACAGAATCCCCGATTTTAATGGGATTACTTGTAAGAGTAAGGTGTTTGCAGGATTAGGTGCCTTAGTCGGGAGGGAATGGAAACTAGACTGCAAATATTTTTATATTTGAACCATTATGTTTTGTTGAAACTGGAACAGATCAACTGTCCATCTAGTCCAATATCTTGCATTTGACACTAATTCATAGCAGATGTTTTATAGGACAGTGTAAAACTACCATAAAGTGCCTATAAGGAAGGTGGTTTTTTTTCATAAGATAAGTAGTTAGTGACAGACTTATATGCTCAGGCATAAAGGTTGCTATCCTTTATCAACTTTTGTCCCAACTAATGTAATTGCAGATGACTGTATTCATGAAAATATCTGTTTTTTCGTTACTAAGCTCTCCACCTCACTGATGTTGTTTTTTGCAGAATTCTGCAGGTTAATTATGTACAAATGTGTTTCCTTTTAACAGTTTTAAATTGGCTCTCTCTCATTTTCACTGGAACCTCCCACCATTTTGGTTTTAAGAGAGAGATAGCAGGAGCACCTGATTCACATTCATTATAACAGTCATTTATTTTATAAGTCTCTGTCGAGTCCCCTCTTATTCATCTCCTTTCTGATCAGTTCTTTCTTATCTTTTAAATCTTCCTGCATATGAAAGTCTGTCTGTGTCTCTAATCATTTTCCTTGCCCTACTCAAGACCTTTTCAATTTCTACACTATGCCTCTGAAGACAAAGTGATTATATTATATTATAAACATTATATTCAAGGTGAGAGTATCCTGTTGATTTCTGTAGCAATATACTATTTCCAGTATTAATCTATATCCCTTTCTTAAGGCACAAAAACATCCTTTTGTTTGCTCCTGTGCATAGAAAAGTTTTTCAGTGAACTGCCCTCTGTGACACACAGGTCACTTTTTGAGTGGTTACAATTAGTTTACAACCTACTACAGCGTAGGAGTACTTCAAATGATTCCTTCCAATATGCATGT